GCCCTGTAGAATATGGGTTAAACAAATACTCAATATAAAAGATTTAAGTGGGTTTTGCAGCCAAGACAGACTAGTCCAATGATTAGCCTATAACTACTAGAAGTGTTAACATGAGTCACACTATTCTGAGGGTGAAAACAAACTTGTTAATTCCTCCATATCTGGATAAGACCACGATGTTTGTATTAATAGACATGTTAGGCTGGAGATTTCCCATCTTTAGCAAAGATTATAGAGTAATTGAAAGTATGAAGGCAAGAGAAACGAGCTGAATACCAAATAGATTTTTATAAAGCATTAGCACACAGGAACCCTGTGTCTAATGATGCCCCTGTAGACTGGAGTGTTTTTACTGTAACCCACCTTTAGTCTCCACAAACACTCTGTATATTATTCATGACAGTCAGAGCAGCGAGCTGAGGGGATGAGCCTGCTCTGTGCCACATGCTAATAGAAAGAGAGTAGGTGGCTAAAAGTTCAACTACACTGAAATGAAAATGGGACAAAGCAGCTATAAAGCAGGTTGACCCAGTGGCTCTATCACGCAATGGTACTCCAGTTTCCCCGACCAAACTAAAACATGCACAATAGTCAAACTCCCCCTGACCAGGCTGAGCTCAGGAACGGGAGATGGGTCCCCAGGCCCTGTATAGCATTTGCCCACTGTGTCTGACAGGTTGCCCCAGTGACATTGAGAGATGGGAGAGAATGCAGATGACAGATTCCCCACAGGGATTAGTAAAGTGCACCTTAAAAGAAATAGAGCACACATGTATGGCTCTGTAAGTTCTGTAAATTGTGTAAGTAGTAGTTTCAGATGAGCTGCCAGGTGGGACCAAGCAATAAATGAATAATGCAGAAAACCGTGAAATGACTGTCTATAAAATGCCACACAGTGTATGCATTATGCAAACAGCAAATGTAGCAAATAAGTAAAGAACAAAAGTGTGGTCCTCTTGGTCTTTAACGGCAGAGCTCCCTTTACCATGAAAATGCCATGTTCTTAAGCTTAATCTGAAGAAATGCATCTCTACATAAGTGCCAGGCTAACCTTTCATCATGAACGTAACAGGCTCATGCAGTTTATGTTAATAAGCCAATTAGCCAGCTCTGACTGCTGGTTTACCCGCAAAAAAAAAAAAGACAGCTACAACAAAAGCCTCAGTCTGCCATTGTCTCCGATGATTTATAATTCGGAGATGCAGATCTGCCCCTGTAATCACCAGGATATGCACAAGCACAAGCAGGAATGAAAGGGGACCAGCAACAGCATGTAGTGTAACAGGAATGATTAGAGAGCAGGAATTTGGAAGAAAAATAAATGTTCAAATTTGCATAAAAATAAAAAAATGGGAGGGGGTTATGAGTGATTGCAAATTATCAAAAAATAATAAATTGGTGGTTCTTGGCTACAACAAATCCTAGGGGAGGGATTTGGATTATGGACAGTTAACAATCATACAGTAACAAGCTGTGGTTTGTAGCCATGGGTTCATTTTCATCTGTTATCCTGCATTTGCTCTCATAAAAACACACTCTCGTGCACACACCAGCACACTGCAGCCAAGGTCTTGCCCAAGGACACAACCGCATTATGTACTCGTTTGACCTGAGTTTGAACTGCCAAGATTCAGGTAGTTTTTTGTTTTTTTTTTACTTTATTTCAGAATTTCACCTTCTGCATTTGTTCAGATTTGGCACTGGAACAAGGAGTCAGGTACACCAATATTTACATTATTACACAAAACTGACTCTTGTGAGCTTTAAGCCATATTATATTGTTGTTACCTCACCAAAAACATACCAGGGGGTGTGTTTTGTTTCCTTCACACATGTTTGAGTAACGCTTTATTCCGTCTACATCTCCAATCTCAAAACGCTCTGTTTCACCGTGTGATGTCAGGTAGTAGTAGTTTTAAAACAGCTACGATTTACTTTTAGTTCAGTAGAGATGGGAAATTCCAGGGCTAAAATCATCCAAATAATTCAAGTGAAGGAGTATGGAGTTTAAAAACAGAGTGCACCACATGATATCACAAAGTAGAGTGTTTTCTGTTTGAGAGAAGAACTCAAGACTAAATATGCAGGATTTGTGTATTAAACATGTGTGAATAAAACAAAACACAACTCCAAGTATGTTTGTGATGAGGAACGAAGGCAATATATGGTCCCTTTAAACAAAGCAGACTGTTTTATAAACTGTTTTATGTGGTCCACTCCAAGTTCATATGCACAAATATCTCAAAATCTGATATTGTGTCTCACTGTTAACATTGTCCGCCACAACAAACTCTTTCCATGTAAGTAAATCAGATGAGGGAGACTGAATGCATTGGGCCAGACAGGTAATCACATTTGAAGAAATGAGATGACACAAGTGGTTTATCTCTGCATTAAGAAGAGCTCCTTCACCAGACACAACCTGCATCTAAATACACCACCACGCCTCCAACTTTATGTTACTGCAAACCCAAATTAAACGCTGATTTCTCTAGTGCTTGGAATCTCTCCCACTGATCTACTGATGTGCGTCGTGACCAGCTATACACAGCAGGCAGCCACCCAGTGCATGTGTAAAGGGACATGGGCCTTCTAAAATGACCATGTTTGGGTTGAAACATTATTCCTTTTGGATTCTGATGTAATGAATTCACTTTGAAGAGCCCATGTTATGCTATTTTTTGATCTATGTTATAATACTTCCTCATCTCAAACAGAAAATACTCTGTCATGTGGAGATACAGGAAGTTCTCGACTGTGTTTTTAAACTTCATTTACCTTCCCTACAATAATATGGATAATTTAATGACCTAAATGTAAAAGGTAATGTGAAAACTACAGCTTCATGCCATCACAAGGTGGAACAGAGCATTTTGAGCTTTGGAGATGTAGACAGGATAATAATAAAGGGTTACTCAAACGTGTCAATGAAACACAATACAACTCCAGGTATGTTTTTGATGAGGCAACAGCATTCCAACATGGATAAAAGCTCACATGTGTAATTTAATTTGGCATAATATAGGATCCTTCATACATTTTCTCATTCCCATGCAAGACTACACCTACCTGAAATCTGAGACAGGTTTACAACTATGCCCAAAATGACACTTAGACATTTGGTCCTCTAGATGTTTGCAATTACCAGGGTGCTCACTATTGTTGCTAGGGTATAAATGACAATTAGCCCCCTCCAAACCAAATTCCAATTAAGGACCTTATGCACATAGCCATTGTGGTTGCTTAGGAACAGTGCCTAACCCCTCCTGTCATGCTAATGTTGTGGCCCCAATGACATTTTCGGGTTGCTTGTTTTATATCACCCCCCGTGGTTTAATCAAAAAGTCTACCTATGCTCTGTGTTTGTGCCTGCATTTCCTGACATTTTCTCACTATCTGCTTCTCATCTGAGTTGAGTAATTACACCACACATTAATAAACATCGCCATGATTAGGATCTGAGTAGACACGGTCCGATGGTGCATTTCCATTTTGGGATGCAGTGGAGATCTTGTGTTGTCAGTATTGTTTAGTTATAATTTAAATTCTGTGTGTATTACCAGATGGCTGGATTTTGTTTAGTAGTTTAGTCCATTATATACACAAAAATTAATGAAAGATTCTATACTATGCAAAATGTACTCTTATGAGCTTTAAGTCATGTTATAATGTTTATAATGTTATCACCTCAACAAAAACATATCCTGAGTTGTGTTTTGTTTCATTCACAAATGTTTGAGTAATCCTTTATTATTAGTCTTCATCTCCAAAGCTCTACATGCTCTGTTCCACCTTGTGATGTCATGTAGTGGTGGTTTTCAAGTTAAAAGCTACCTTTTGCCTTTTATTCAGTTGACAATCCCAGATGATCCAAATGATTCTAGTGAAGGTGCAAGGAGTTTAAAAACACAACGGAGCACTTCCTGTATTGCCACATGACATCGCAAGGTAGAACAGTGTTTTCTGTTTGAGAGAAAAACTCTTAAATATGCAGGGGTTTGTGTGTTAAACATGTGTGAAAGAAACAGAACACAACTCCAGATACTGTATGTTTGTGACAAGGAAACAACATTATTACATAAATCAGAAAATGGGTCCTTTAATATAAATTGCTTACATTAGATGCATGTAGGCATATCATTAGATATATGTACACCTACTAAAAGAAATCATTCACATTCATTTCTTCTTACTGCCCAATTAGACACGGTTGGTTAATTGACCTCCTTGGACATAGTGTAAAATGCTTGGAGATTATGTTACGTTCCTTTGCCTGATCGCTCGACCAGGCATAAGACAAATGTCTGAATGTTTCAACTGTAATTTCATCCACCAACCTAATGATTTAACTGTTATGTGAACCCTCTTTGGGTAAAACATTACAACTCAAAATTGCAATGTTCTTTCACATAGATAAATAGCATGATAGTATTACAATGAATCATTCTAGCATAAACAAACTAAAAAAAAGATATGCTCAAAAAGGGACAGTCAATAAATCCAGCCTCTAACACTGGCCTCTAGCTGGTGTTCAATAATGGTTTAGTTAAGAATGCACTGATCCAGCTTTTTCAGTTCTGATACTAAAGCTTTAAATGTCTGCCAATGCCCGATATCAACTGATACTAGTGCAGAGAATGAAAACAGTATTTTTTTTTTTTTTACAATTAAAATAAGACAAAACTGATTCAAATGTGTCATGTAGTTGTTATTTATCTCTCAAGTAAGTACAGAACTACTTTGTGTAAATAAAAGTCCAAACATTATGAGACTTTCTGGACCAAGTATTACCAGTAAATAGTCTTATTACATCCAACCATAATATCAGATGACCCGATATTTGGAAGCCAATATCCAGTTCAGAAAATTCAGAAAATTTTCCATATCAACACCGATATCAGATACTAGTATTGGTGCATCTTTAGTTTTAGTGCAACATGTGGTAAAACAGTTTGTAAATTAGTTTCCATTTGTGATGATGGGTGGGGTTGTGAACTCACCAAATGTTGTGGAGAGTATGTCTGGAGGTCACCTTTCAGTGGAGCAGGGTCGTGTGGTGTCCATGTCGTCTGCTGGGGATGAGATCTTGTCCAGCGTTGGCTTAACCATGGTCACTGTGAGAGCAAAACAACAGGTCAGAGAAAAAACGGGTTGAAAACAATACAGCTAAATTAGGAAAGAAAAGCATTTATGGCACTGTGAGAATGTAGAAATCCTACAATCTTACTTTTACGTAAGTTGTAGCTCATTAATTTGTACATTTTCATACTTTTCCCATTGTCAAAAAAGTTTTCAGTAATCAAGGTAATCAGGTTCCAACTCCCTGTTTTAAACATGTGAATCAGAGGAGTACAGTGTGAGGAGGTTAACCACTGCTCCCCACTGGAGAGTATCTGTCAAAGGGAAGAATGGCATGTCTTCATGTCTAGGGAAGTCTTCATGCCTTATATAGTCCTGGTCTAGTACAAGCTGCTGCAGCAAGCCGGATCAGGCCAAGGGCTACGGAAGCAGACCTTATGAGAACTCATTAGACGAGTCTTTAAATCTACAGAGACAAATATGAATGCATTATACAAAATGGGCTGCTATTAAAAATAATCAAAAGTAAAGGAGCGGTTTCCAGAAGAAGAAAAGAGACTATTAAAAACCTATGCTTTGGAAGGTTCTGTGTGAACAGTGAGATAATGAGCTCACTGAGCTCCAGGTCCATAGCACTACAGTGCCTCTACAGTAGACTTTAAGTAAAGAACATATATTCCAAAGGCCATTTGAAACTATATTTTACTTCTAATGGGAACTTGTTTGACATTTCCAAACCACAACATTCCGCGCAACTACATTTCTCAACATTGACATTTTCTCTGTCTTCTCCAGACTGTGCTTTCACATTCAAATGTATTATGTACGAGTGAAAAAGAATCCGCCAGTTTGCCTGTCATGGTTTCTGAGAGGTTTCTTGACAGGAAGGAACACTTCATCCTAATACTGATGACCTCAGTGCTCTGAGCTTCAGCTGAGTCTGCAGGGCCTCCTCAAGTGGGCTATAAACGCAGCCCCAATGAGACAATTAGCATTTTTAAGTCTCCGTTCAAAATCTGTGACGACGCCGGATAAGAGCTCCCATTTGCATACTGTATGAAAGAATGAGAGGGTCTTTCCCACAATCATATAAAATGGCAATTCTTCCGACTGTGAGTGTGAAAGTATAATAGCTCATTACCAATCTGCAAACCCATGGCACTGCAGTGGAAGAGCTGATTGGGTTAGGAGTTAGCATAATGTATGAGCCTTTGTTCACAAAAAATATGGTTTGTGCAATAACAAGAGCCTCAAACACAAAGCAAACTGTTGAGAGGGGAGAGTATTCATCAGTATCAGTATTAATCAGCACCACTTTTAGGCAACAGTGACAAAAATATGGTGGTACACAAAAGAGGCGTCGTATCTAGTAAAGAGGTGAAATAACAATACACAATATGGCAAAGGAGAAATTCAGTTTGGACAAAAGTTTATTTTGGTATCTTCATGAGTGAATTTGATGTTCAGATTTACAGCATTAATATGTGTAGTAAAAGGTTCCAAATCTTTAATTTTGATTTTAGAAAAGTTATCATCAACATAAAGATACCAATGTGTGGGTGGAGTGCCTGGATATGAGGCCAAGGCACTCAGTTCAAATTGTTCCATATATAAGTTAATAATAATGGCAGAGACCAGTGAGCCCCTGGCACAGTCAAAGATTTGGCTGTAGAAGTTTCCTCTGAACTGGAAATAGGTGGTATTTAAACAAATTTCCAGCAGTTGGCAGATTTGGTCAGGTGACAGTTTAGTTCTCTCTTCTAGCCTGGTATCCTGCAGTAGTCTCCTCCTTGCTGTCTCCACCACTATGTATGTACATTCTCTTGTCAAGGTCAAACTGGAGATGCTTGATTTTGTTCACAAATTCTGCTGTGTTCTCAATATGGTGCTCCATGTTACACCCCCGCAGGGACCACAATGGCCTTCAGGTGTTTGTCCAGATGACAAACTGATTTTCTCCTTTGCCATGGATTCTACCTGGACGACAGGGATTTTACATACACACAATATGCAATTACTCATGTGAGTAAAAAATTGTTGCTTAAAGTAAAAGAAGTAATTACCGCTACTCTACAAATTGAAAAGAATTCAGTTTTGTGTAATTGTAACTGTACTGGCCTACTACTTCTACTGCTACTTCACTTTCACAGAAAACACTCAATATCTGTCTGCTCCTAAAACACATAATCTTATGTGAACCAAGGTAAAAGAATACTTGCTGTAGATCAGTGATTCTCAAACGTTTCCTATGACAATATCTGGCTTTCATATGTACAACTAAACCTAAATTCAAACTCTATATTGCCTAAAATTTTAATAAACCAGGTCTAAAATAACACAACACTATGGAAATGTAGTTCTAAATCACAATTAACCGAAAGGAAACATTTGTAGATGTGTCTTTAAATTTCAGTAAAAAGTATTTTGTTCACACTTCACACTGCTATTAGATATCTAACATATCTCTTGAAATATTAATGGTATACTATGTAATTTTTTGGTTGGAGGTCCGTCACTTCCTTGTTTCTGTGGATATGTCATTGCTCTGCCTGGAATGTTCCATAGGATGACATTAAACAGCTGTACCTGACATTTAGTCAATTACATCTGGTTTTATGGCTCAAATTATCTAAATAAATATCTAAGATAAATAAAGATAAATATCTAATTTCAGAAAAGCATTTGATGGACCTTAGACAATGCACCTTTAAGTCTGACCCTACCTGACCTGCTTCTGCTTTGTTTTTTGTTTTGTTGTTTTTTTTGCTTTTTTTCAATGTTGTGCAACTGTCAAAACACCAAGCAATCATCTTTGCAACCCATTTAGCAAAGTTCCCTCTGCCCCACATGCCCTGTTTTCTTGTTTACGCGTAAATGTTCCAAACGCAATGATCCATACAGCTGCTTATGGACTCATAGCCTGTCTATAAACCTGCGGGTGCCAGGGAAGCTTTCACAGCCATATATTTACACACAAGGGAGTCTTACCACCCCACAGCACGCTAAGAGATACAATCTACCACGGACGTGCTGGTTACACTCAAGTTTGATAGGGTAGATTATAAAGATCAGACATAAAGCACTGCAAAAATCTCTCCAGTAACCGTCCTTCTTCTCGATTTACCCCGCTCCTTAGGGCTGTCACATAAATCGCCTACGAAGAACGGGTTGATATCATCATCCTTCTTTCCTATGAAGGCCATGTAAGTGAGAGCAACCATAAAACAGATGGGATTAATGCGTGTGGCGGATTTATGTAACCTGTTTTAAATGGGGTAAAAATACATGGCCGTTAAGGTGAAAGGGCAGTTGCGATGTTTACTGTTTTAGATTCCATTTTGTGTGTACGCTATCCTTGTTTGACACAAAATGTTCCGTGATCATAAATACTTAGAGACGACAACTCCGCGTTTAGCCACCTGCTTGTAAGGGCTTCACGAGTGCCTCTTCGTGTCTTCAGGAATTGTCTCCCGGATGGCTTTCTCCTGATGAAGAGATTGGATGGCTATATTGTCTCCAGCTGCGATATGGCATAGCAGGATGTGTAGGAGTGTGCCTACAAGAGTGTGTGTGAGTGCAGGTATACAGGACATAGATAGGTTTATACAGCGAGACCCCAAAAGGACATTGTGTGTGTGTGTGTATGTGTGTGTGCATATATATACAATGACTGTGTTGCCTTTGAGATGTGAGCCAAATTCATCCTCTTATTGGAGACATACAGTACATGGAGGCACTCACTTGGACGCTCTCCATCTGTGGTTGCTGATAAGACCCCGGACACTTCGAGGCCAGAGGAGAGACGCCATTGTGTGGGAATACTGTGTGACTATTAAGACACATTAAGACGGCCTCAGATCATTTCACTTCATGTATGCCCTTTCAAAGACTGGGGAGTGAATGTAAAGATTGCTATAAGAACTCAAACAGCTCAGTTCTACTTCATTTTCTCTTATACAATGCAGCTGAAGTTTAGTTTGATTTTAAGGATTTTCAGACATTCAAGCATCAGCTGACCAGAATATTTGGGTCAGCTTGTCTGAATGAATTATAATCCATGCAAGACTCCTATTTTGGTTTGTACGCCACGTAAATGTTGATTTACTTAAGACCAAAATGGTATTCAAAATTAAAGGCAAGAATAGATATAAAAATGATAAATGAAAAAAAGTAGGTATAAAAATGAAAGCAACCTGGATTGTCTATTATTATTAACCAATTCTTCTTATATGGTTCTAAAGTCACTGAGCTACAAAGTGCATAAACGTCCTATATTATGTAAAATTGTCTCTTGTGAGCTTTAAGCCATGTTAGAATGTCACCTCATCAAAAACATACTGGAGTGGTGTTTTGTTTCATTCTCACATGCTTTTGTAATCCTGCATTATTAGATCTGCATCCCCAAAGCTCAAAATGCTCTTGTCCCCCTTGTGATGTCACGAAGCAGTAGCTTACAACAGCTACCTTTTACATGACATCACAAAATAGGACAGAGTGTTTTCTGTTTCTGCGAGAAGAACTCAGTCTAAATATGCAGGGGTTTGTGTGTTAAACATGTGTGAATGAAACAAAATACAACTTCAGGAAATAACATTATAACATAGATTTTTAAAAAATACCGTAATATAGGCCCTTTAAAGTAAACTCAGGTTTGCAAGGTTGAATTTAAGAAAAAAAAAAAAAGGTGATGCTTGTATGTTTGCAAATGTTTCAACAAAGTCTGCATAAATGATCAAATTTTAGGGAAAAAAACAGTAATTTCAGTAATAACAGCATTTTTTTTACTTCAACTCCCAGCACTGATTGTTATTGAATGCCAGTTAATCCCAAATGACTTCCTCACTTTATTAAAAACACAAACACACAACTGGCATCTGAAATCCATTTTAGGAGATGATTTGTAATGCATCATTTGAATTCTGTACCGACTCCACACTTGTTATGTATAGCTATAGTCAAAGGTTTCTATCATATTTACAGTTATATTACAGCAAATTTTTCTCCCGAGGTCCCTGAAAGCCTCGCGATGGAGAGG